GAGAACACCCTCTTGACTTCTAACTGCAGGTCTGGGGGTGCCCTCTCCTGTGTGGTACAGGGTCTGACCTGGCTCCTGTTGGGAATAAACATGACTGAAGGCAGCCTGTGCTCCACCGAGTCCCGACTGCTCTGGTCCAGAGCTGCCGTTCTGGTGACCCATCCTGGAGAAACACAGACATGTTGTCTACAGACTCTTATCCCTTCCTCACCTTGTTTGGGGGTTCCGACACCCCTGGGCTCCTCTTCATTGTTGTGGCACCACTGGGCTCCTCCTCCTCCTCCTTATTCCGATACCTCTGGGGTCCTCCACCTCGTCTGCCCGAGTCTTCGGGGGGTGTCCAAACGCTGGGCTCCTCCTCCTGGTCAACCCGAGTCTTCGGGGTCCAGGCGCTGGGCTCCTCCCAGAGTCGAGGTTCAGGAGGAGTTTCTTCCTGTTGGCTTCTCCCAGATCTCCCAGACTCCTCAGGCCTGAGCCGGGCTGGGAGGAGGGAATCTTCCCCGAGATCCTGGAGTCCGACGTCCAGACGACACGACCGGAGAGATGGAGCCGATGGGGGAGGATGTGGGCGTCGAGGCTCCTGGTGTCCGACTGGGAGAGAGCTCCGATGTTGGGGCATCTGTCCTTCCTCTTGACTTGAAATTTTCCACAAATAATTCGGTAGCCTGATACCCCCACTCTCGCTCTCGCCCAGCAGATACCCCAACACCCACTGCTCTCATCAAGACAATGATCAGCTCACCTCACTGTCCCTCCTCTCTAATTACATTCCCTCTTCTGGGTCCGGCAGTCTTTTCAGGAGCCCACCTATTACCAAAACACAGGGATTTATCTGTACAGTGAATAACAGACAGCACACGGAATACACCGTACAGTGATTATTATAGCAAACACCCAGTACAGTAATTATCAGTATCCAGTACAGCGATTATTACAGTGAACACCCAGTACAGTGATAATCAGTATCCAGTACAGCGATTATTACAGCAAACACCCAGTACAGTGATTATACTGAACACCCAGTATGGTGATTATTCCAGTGAACACAGTACAGTCATTGTCCCTCATAATGAAAACAGAGTTAAAGGATTATTATATTCAATACCCAGTGCAGTGTCTGTCCATCACACAGAATAAGCAGCACATTGAACAGCTAGTAATCTCCTATTACAGGGAACACTGGGTCAGTCTGAGCTGTGCTGCCCCCTGCACAAGACATGTCCTGAGGTCAGAGTAGACTGTGGTCTCGCCCTCCCTGGGGACACCCTGTCCTCTCTGGGGTCCTGCTGTCGCCTCTGGGAAACAGAAAATAACTGACATTCATGCAAAACATAACCTGGTGTCTAAGAAACACTGGTTCTGACTGAAGCAATCTTATTAGCAAATACAATCTAATGGATTTTGACGAAATTCCCCCCTGAAGTAAGAAGAAACAGCACACATCTACAGTCAAGGTGTTGATTTAGAAGATCAGCCTGTAAAACAATCCTGACGGGACTCGGCTTTCAGGGAAAAGCTGTGGAGTGAAAAAGACTCAAGACAGAGAAACAGAACTGAGAACAGTCCCTCTGTCTCAGCTACACTCTCTGACTCTCACTCATGTTCATGTGTATCAGCAAAATCTGTTGTTTTGAGAGGGTGTCATGGAGCTGCCTCTGTAGAAATGTTTTTCTTTTTTGTTTAACAATGAAATGATCTACAAATACCACACAAAATAAAGTCTATTGCTTTCATCTTTAGGTTGTTTTTATATAATGAACTATTTACATTATGCCAGCACAGATACCACAAACACCATCTCTCAAAGAAATGTCAGAGACCTGTTTTATTGATTACTTTTAGAGCCGCTGTGTGCAGCTTTTGCCATTTAATGCTGTAAACAAATGTAATTCTCTATTATAAAGTCATTGGGTATTTCTTGTGGGTCAGTATTATTATATCCAGAGTTGAAAATGTCATTTGACAACACAAAATACTTTCTTTCTAGCATTTAGTGAGGTTTGAAAACTCATGTTAAAGCACCGGTTTATCACGTTAAAAAAATAAACTGAACCAAAAAATTGATTTTGTGTATAAAACTGACCTGAAATATCCAAATCTGCACATCCCTATTAAGACTTTAACACTATCAAGAAGTACACACACTGGTGGGTCTTTAATATTAAACAGCTCTTAACAGACATAGCAGACTACATGTGTGTATTTGCTTAAAACACTACAGTTTCCAGTTCCCCAAACATATTGTAATCATTTCTCAAAATAACACAAATGGCTCTAAACACGAGTATTAATTGCTTTGAAAACAAACCATTTTGTAATAAACAAATGAACAGTTCCCTGTCCCCTCCTGTGCTGACCGGTCGAGAACACCCTCTT